CCCTACTGACCTAACCGCGTAGCCCCGCTTGCCTCGGGGCTGAGGGAAGCCCCACCCTGTGTGTGTGAGCTAGAGAGTGGGTTTTAGACAGACAGGAACAGCCAGAGAAATAGAGTGAGACAGGCAGAAAATAACACTGGGACAAAAATGGGAAACCCTGCTTGTCCTACATAAAAGGTGGAACTACTCGTTACTCGTTGTATTTCACTTTCAGAGCAGAGCAGCAACCTTAGGCGATACAGAGCGCGCAATTTTTCATTTTCACACCTTGATTGTTATTTTAATTTTTGCGGTGTAGGAAAGTAAGGGGTGCGTGGGCTGCGGCGGGCTTGGCGGCCCCGCGAGCAAGACTGGCTCTCGTGGCGGGCTGTTCGGCCGGGGTCAGCGGGAAAAACACGGTAAAAACGAAGCCACGCGAATACAGACGCGCGACAGAATTCACTTTCTTGCCAACCTCTGGCCCGTGTGACACCAGCGCCACAACAGCCTCCCGCGCGAGCACTCGCCCTAGACCAGTCCGAGGTTCAGTTCCCCACAACCACCTGCATTGGGGGCCACCACTTGCGATTTTAGGCATTATTACTGTCGGTGTGTGTTAGGTTAGAGAAAATTGCAACTGTGTCACCGTTATGGTGGCTTGTATTCATCCAAATAACGTCCAAATACCGCCGGCCGCGGGTACACCGGCGCCTGCTGCCGCGGCAGGGCCTCGGGCCCGTCCCGCATGCTCTAATACGGCATCCTGGCGGCCTTGCACGCCGACGGCCGGCAGCCCCCCGCCGCCCCGCGCAGAGCGCGCAGCCTCAGCCGGCTGCTCTGGACTGCAATCTGCACACACTGATAAACTAAGTGTTCAACTGCTCAACACTTGTAAGTGTGCAACTGCAAGTTGAATACTTGCAAGTGTCCAACTCCGTAGTTCTACACTTGCAAGTGTTCAACTCGGTAGGTGTGCACTTGCAAGTGTGCAACTCCTCAGTTAAACACTTGCTTAGATTGGACGCTTACTGTGTAGGAAGTGCTCAACCGAGGAGTTGCACACTTGCAAGTGCACACCTACCGAGTTTAACACTTGCAAGTGTAGAACTACG